ACGGGATCGCAACCCTCGGTGTCGCACCCGCACCGCGCTCAACCAGTGAGCAGACTGGTCTTTATATGGGATCCAAACCCTCAGCGGGAGCACCGCCGCACTCCCAAGCGCCACACTCTACCGAGTGCGCCACCGGGCCGGCCCCTGAAATCACTACTTTTGATCAAGGAGAAATCAAGGAGAAAGTCGCTCACTGTTTGCACGTGGCGATAAGAGTGAGCAGCAAGATTGTTTTGCCTGTAGCCTTGTCCCATTTGGATTGGAACTTCCTCTTGCCACTTGTCCCCTGCCTGGCACAAAGTATATGTGTTTGCTGAACGAATGGATGAACCAACGTCTACAGTTGGTTCATCGTGTAGCAGTTTGAGCACGTTAGCTTTTTTGAAGGGAGGAACAGGAAGGCAAAAGAGGTGAGGGGACAACAGGGATGGCCTGAGGGAGTCAGCCCCGGGGAGGTGGTGGAGTGGGGGTTGTGAAAGGGAGACAATCCAGCTACCTCTGCAGCCTCTCTACTCAAAGTCTGGTCCAATCTGGCAGGAGCATAGTACCTGGGAGCTTATTAGAAATGCAGAGTCTCAGGCCACGTCCTAGCTTAACTGAGTTAGAATCTGCATTTTGACAAAGATCCCCAGGTGATCTATAAGCACAGTGAAGTTTGTGAAGCACTGAAAGATAGTTTTGTGGCATTTCTAGAACAATGCAGCAGCCCAACCATCATGGAAGAAGGGAGGGCTATTAGCCTGGTTTCCCATGTGGAATCACCATTAGCAGGGTTGAAGAACAACATTTTAAATGATGAATTTGATTTTTAAAATCCAGCTTTTTTTTTTGCAGGCCATCTCGGGAGAAAGATACATCATCATTAAAAGTCTAAAGCATGACTTTGTTAAAGGACTATCCCTAGGAACATCCATTTCCTGTTGTATCTCTTGCCAGGTACTAGTTTTATTCAGCCCTGGTTCTCTTTGTATTTACTCTTCCTGGGGCTGGAAGCTAATTAGAAATGCATGTTCAGTAGGGATTTTATCAGTCAATTTTAACTAAGTTGAGTCATGGAGAGGATCACACCTATGAGATACCGGATTGCAAGATTTGTTACTGGTAGAGGAAACTGATGTGAACTCTAAACAAAATGAAAATTACTTCCTCTCTTAACAAGCTGCCTTTGACATTTACATTCTGTTCAGAGTCCCCTTTACTAACATTACTGTCTCTCCAATCCTTCCTCCTTGTCCCAGCATGCTCATGAGAACACGCCGCCTTAGCTGGAATTAGAGGAGCCCAGGTGTGTCACGGGCGTTCCTGTCTCCGAGTCTTGTGCTCACGTCAGCCTACTTACCGCTTATTCCCTCTTCCCACCACCCCCTTTCTTCCACTCAAATATTCAAGACAAGGTTTTTTTTGTTTGTTTGTTTACCTTATTTTGTTTTTAATTTTTGGTGGCTAGCCAGGATGGGGATCCGAACCCATGACATTTGGGTGATAAGTCAAGATAAGGTTTAAGGGGTGTTTTCCACAAAGCCTCCCCCACCATTCCAGCCTCTACCTGATCTCTCTTTTCTGATCTCTATAGTCCTGTATTCAGTACACTCTCAGAGTTCTTAGCACATGCTGCCCTGTGTAATTTATCCATTCAGACATATGTCCTGTCATCAAGAGCAGGCTCTACCTGATCTCTCTTTTCTGATCTCTATAGTCCTGTATTCAGTACACTCTCAGAGTTCTCAGCACATGCTGCCCTGTGTAATTTATCCATTCAGACATATGTCCTGTCATCAAGAGCAGGATACCCAGATCTCTGTAATATCATATGTGGGTCATACTGAGTGCTCATTAAAAGTTTCATAGCTCCTTTCAGGGGTTCAGAGAAGCCTGGGCCATAGCCAACTTTAGAGTCCTACAACTTTTTAATTTTAAATAATTTTAATTTTAAATAAAAATTAATTTTAATAATAATTAATTATTAATTTTAATTAATTTTAAATGAAAATTTTATTAATTTTAAATAAAAATACATGAAAAACAGAGCTTAAAAATCCCCCAAATATTTTTCTAGCTCTTTGTTATGTAAATATAGACTGTGTATTAAAGAAAATCTACCTTTCTTTTAATGTCAGAATTGCTATCAAATACAGAAAACAATCAAATACCAAAACATTGATATATATAATCTGTGTGTGTGCATGTTTGTGTATGTGTGTGCACACACACACATACATACACACAACCACACACGCGCATCCTATAACCAAGCAGCTGTGCTTCACTGCAGGACAAAGCATGTCTCCTCTATATATGGCAAAGTTACGGACCTCTCACCAAAGCCTGTGAAGGAAGAGATATCTTTAACCTCACCCAACACTTGCATTCTGATGATCTTTCACTAAGTGTAGCGAATTTGAACTTTTAGCCTCCTTTATCTCCAGCTCTAAGTGAGGATATTCCTGTACTTTATATCTGCTGTAAGGTTCTGAATAAAAAGAAATATGGGTACACATTTTTCTGATTTTTTCTCTCTTACAGGTGAAATACCATCACATCCTTCATTCTTTTTAGGGCCACAGGAGACCCAATATATCTGTCTGTATTGTAACAGATGGCAAGACCTTGCTCAAAGACACATTTTCTATCCAGGCTGAACTGGCTATAGAATTCTCCACTGCAGAATTTGGGAGCAGAGATGAGGCTTGCCTGACATGGGGAACTGTCATTGAGATGGTACCTTCAAAAAAGCCCAGAGTTAGAATCTTGCCTTTATCTCTGAATTTGAGGCTGTGTCTGTTTTTAAGTTTCTAAAAATAAGTTATTATATGATTTGGGAAATTGCAAAGATTTTCAGTACCATGAACTTCTGGGGCTCTAATGCATCAGTGGAATATCAGCACATTGATGGAAGTGTGGACTATTTGGATTCAAAAGACCTGGTTTGAACTCCACTTTGCTACTAACTGGCGGCTGTTTGAGCTTAAGTAAAGTTCTCCTGTTTCTGAACCTCTAATTCCTCTTCTGTAAAATGGAGATGGTTGATGATACTGTTTTAACAACGTGATTGTGAGGCACATGAGAGATGACAGACATGCAAGCACTTTACAGTTTAAGTGTTAGTTACTCATCAGGAGTACAATTAGGGTTGCTCTCCTGCAGTGGTTCTCAAACTGTAGCTGTGTTAGAATTATCTGGAGGGCTTGTTAAAACACAGATGGCTGAGCCCCACTTCGAGAGATTCCATTTCAGTAGGTCTGGGTGGTGCCTGAGACTTCGTCTTTCTAGCAAGTTCTCAGGTAATGCTGAAGCTGCTGGTCTGGGACTGCACTTTGAAAACCACTGCGCTAATGAAATTCCCAGCCATTTTCCTTCTTACCTCATTATGAATTCCTTAAAGCATAACCTCAATTTGTTGTGATGTCGATAGAGTTTTGGGTCAGCTGGAATTTCAGCCAAGAACACTTGGGCTACTTCCAGTGGTCCCTAAATGAAAAAGTAAAAAAAAAAAAATAGTGATATTAAAAAGAAAAATTAAGTTACTTGGGAATAAATGTTGGAATGACTTCTTAGTTTGAACACTTAATTTTGTAGTTAGTTTGACCAAAACAAAAAATTAAGGACGGTCTTGAACTTCTCAGTAAGCTTTGATTCCTTAGGAGGGTCTGGAGTTTTAAGAGAATACTCAGAAGTATAACTGTATTTTTTCAATCAAATACTACCACTAATAGGTGTTCCTTCACAACTAAAGTTAATACAAGTAACTGCATCAGGATATGTGATTTGAGTCATTTTTCTAAAAATGGGGATTGCCTTGATCTGTCCATTCATATTCACTTATCTAGTTGCCCTAGTCACAAACACCATTTTGCATAATTGCTGGCTTGAGTCAGAGATACCCATAGTACATATGTAGCCCGAATGGGGATTGCCTTGATCTGTCCATTCATATTCACTTATCTAGTTGCCCTAGTCACAAACATCATTTTGCATAATTGCTGGCTTGAGTCAGAGATACCCATAGTACATATGTAGCCCATGGTTGTGGACTTATCAAGTCTTCCATATTAATCAAAGGATTAGCACTTACAAAGGCAATACCTTCCCAAGTTTTTGTGATCTTGGAAATACAGTAGTTATTTCTCCTCTCTACTATTTCTGCTCCCTTGATGTTAAGTGGACTCAGACTTTTTGCAGGAGAATCCAGTGTGCCAAGTGAGGAAGGAGTCATGATGCTCATTGAATTTTTGAGAGTTGAGGTGTGGACAAGAGCAGATCTAGAGCTGAAATTAAGGAGGCTCACTGGACACAGAGTGCTAGGCTGCTACCTCCCTCCATCTAAGACTGGTTTAGTTCCCTGCTGAACTTGGGAGTTAGTGTTCTTATAGGTCTCAGAAGATACAGTCTGGTCTGAAGTGGCCCAAGAAGTCTGGTCCCAGGTCACTCCTGGTTGGCAAGGCCTTTTCATGCTGGGTTCATCCTGTGACTTACCCAGGAGCTGGATGTTCTAGACCCTTTCCCCTCTCTCCCACAGGCATTCTTAGATTAATCTCAAGCCCTGCAACAACTTTGCCAAGACTGGGCATGATGAAGCACTCTCCAATAGGACTCCAGATCTGGATCATATTGCTAGGTCTGACCCCCCAAAGGAAACTCCTTGAGAAATGGTACTTCTGAAACCTGGTTCCCTCATCTCTAGAATTTCTTTTCTACCTTGAGTTGTTCCATGAAGAAGAGACCTACCAAAGGCTTCTAAACCTCACAAGTGTTCAGGTTAGTAAGTGGATCAGACCCCTCATCAACCTCAAGGAAGGAGGGTATAGACATAATGACAGCCCAAATACTGCCACCAGCTGGCTTTGCTTACCTGGTTTACAGTGGCTCCTACAGAGCCCTGCAGAACCATTTGAAGCATCTTTGCATCAGGGGGCTCCTGGTTAATGGCAACGGCTAATTGCAGTGTCTTCTTCTTCATGTCTTCAATGGCAACTTCAATTGGTGTCAAAACAAACTGAACATAAGGACATAAATATAGGGAAGTCATTGTGTGGCCTCATAAGCCTTGGACAATCCTGAAGTTATGACAGAGAGGGCACCTGGATTTGAAGCAGCAGCTAAGGGAAGATTTCAGAGTAATTGAAAATAATCTGAACAGGTTAAGAAGAAGGAAGGACCTAACACTTTTTGAGTACTTATGTTCCAGGAACTTCACAAACATTTATCATTTACTCCTTTAAACAACCTTATTCTTTCAATTTTACAGTCAAAGGGGGATTTATAAGGTTAAGTAAGTTCTACAAAATGACACAGGTAGTAAGTGGATCAGACCAACTTCAATTGGTGTCAAAACAAACTGAACATAAGGACATAAATATAGGGAAGTCATTGTGTTGCCTCATAAGCCTTGGACAATCCTGAAGTTATGACAGAGAGGGCACCTGGATTTGAAGCAGCAGCTAAGGGAAGATTTCAGAGTAATTGAAAATAATCTGAACAGGTTAAGAAGAAGGAAGGACCTAACACTTTTTGAGTACTTATGTTCCAGGAACTTCACAAACATTTATCATTTACTCCTTTAAACAACCTTATTCTTTCCATTTTACAGTCAAAGGGGGATTTATAAGGTTAAGTAAGTTCTACAAAATGACACAGGTAGTAAGTGGATAGGCCAGAATTTGATCGCAATTATGTCTACATTCAAACTCCATGTTCTTTCTATCCTGTTAGGCTTCCTTTCCTATTACTGAACAAGTTACTCGACTTACACTGGGAAAACACAGCACTCAACATCTCCTTCCCCATCTTTTTTTTATTTATTTTTTCCCTTTTGTCTTTTTTCGTGACCGGCAACGGATCGCAACCCTCAGTGTCACGCCCGTACTGGACCAGGACCGGCAACGGGATCGCAACCCTCGGTGCTGCGCCCGCACCTCACTCAGCCAGTGAGCGGCCGGTCTGTATGTGGGATCCGAACCCTCGGCGGGAGCGCCGCCACGCTCTCAAGCGGCGCACTTATCCAGTGCGCCACCGGGCTGGCCCCCTCCTTCCCCATCTTAACACAAGTTTTGGCATTACTTGTGCCTTCTCCAACTTTCCCTAGTAATTGGAAAGTAATTGAAGGTGAATTCCTAGTAAATGGAATTCTCTTAAAGGTCAGTCTAGTTGCTAAATTCTGCTGGTTTGCGGTAGGGTCCTTCCTGAATGTTATGTGTTGAATTATGACCCCCTAAAATTCATATGTTGAAGTGCTAACCTCCAGTACCTCAGAATGTGACCTTATTTGTAGAGAGGGCCTTTACAGAGGTAATCAAGTTAAAATAAGTTCATTAGGGTGGACCCTAATTCGGTATAGCTGGTGTCCTTATAAGAAAAGAAAATCTGGACAAAAGCACTCACAGAGGCAGATGACATGAAGGCACAGAGAGAAGTCCATGTGCAGGCCAAGGAGAGAGGCCTGGATCAGACTCTCCCTCACAGACATTGGAAGGAACCAAACTTCCAACACCTCAATCTCAGACTTCCAGCTTCCAGAACCGTGAGACAAATTTCTGTTGTTTAAGTCACCTGTCTGTGGTATTTTGTTATGCAGCCCAGGGAAACGGGGGTTCTCATTTGAGGTTCCTGGGGAACTACAGATGGCCGAGAAGAGCTGGGAGAATGCTTTTTGGCACGATGAGTTTATTTCTGTGCCATGCCTAGAATGTCACAGTGTTCAGAAGTCCAAAATAATAAGAAATACAACAGATACTGTCTACACTAACCTCTTCCTGACAGAGTCACTAGTTCAGTCATTCTTTGCCCCCTGTGAAACCCACTCTTGATGCGGCTGCCTTGCTCAATACCAGCTGTGGGCTATTCTCCTGCTAGCTCAGCCACTGCAGCTCCTGCCTGCTGAGGTTACGTTCACCACGAGTCATCTGTTTGCTCACCAACTTGATTATGCCTGTTATACTTGTTATTTTAATGACCTAATCTAATTAAATAATGCATAAGCTGATGAACTATGGGTGTGGAAAGAAAAAGAGTTGTTTCTGTGAAAGCCAAGCTAATGCCTGCGCAAGACATTATGAAAATGAGTTGCTATAAAAATTCCTGTCATATTAGGTGTGCACAAGACACCTGTAAAAGACTGGGGTGGGGGGAGGGAGATCATAAAAATCCAGAAGGCTTCTGCTCTAACATTGCTTAATGAGGATATTTAAGCTCTCATTCTGCCTGACAGAAAGCAAAATTGAAAATCATGGGCAATGCACTATGGGTGTGGTTTATATAGGAAAGAAATGCTGAATTGTGATCAGTCAACCCATAATCACAAAGAAGTCTGTGGCGCTATATAAAGAGGATGGCATATAAATGTGCATGTATGTGTTTTTAAGAAAAATAAAATGTTTAACATCATGCATACTTTTGAATGATTCTCTGATTTAACTTTCTTGATCCGTCCTATTTAAAATGGTTTAAAAGTCTTCTACTGCACGTAGAGGTCTTTCCTGACAATGTATAGATAAAGACACTGAAGATAAGTAGCTTGTGCTAAGTCACAGCAGGAAGCTAGAAGTCAGCCTGTCACCTTGTCTACCTTGTATGGTGACCTTCTTACAGGACACCACCAACTCACTGGGGCTGCTTGCTTGTGGTTCTTGTCTTTAATAATTAACAACACAACTATGCCTGAATCACCTGTGAGCTTTCAAATATGTAGAAATTTAATAGAAAAGATTTAAAATGTAAATATATACATTTTATGTAAGTTTATAATTAAAATATAAATATATATTAAATACTATAATTATGTATGTAAACATACTTATACTAAAGGTATACCTTTAACATATTAAACATTTAGTATAAAACAGTGCTATAAAATATGTCGCAGCCTGAATGGGATTCCCTGGCATCATGAGAGCGAGATCACCATGTGATATTTCAAGTGTGTCCCTCTCTGTTTCCATGAGGGGGTGCTCAGGTGTGTGTCCTCCTGGGAGGTCACCTGGCCCACTCACCCGGTGGTGGCCGCTCCCTCCCGGTTGCTGTTACCTCCTCCTTCTGGATGACGCTGATCCTGGTCTTGATGTAGGGGAAGGCGTGCATGGTGGTCAGCACCGTGTTCCTCCGGTACTGCTCGTGCAGCTCGCCCCGCGGCCGCCCCTCCAGCGTGAAGGGCGTGGTGTACATGAACCTCCGCAGGTTGAAATTCTTCTCAAAGTGGGTTACCCTGTCTTTCATCTCATACTCATCAAAGTAGGGCTCCACAAAAGTGATCTGTATGTAGACCTGGGGGGGGGGAGGAAGGAGAAGATGAGCTGTCCTGCAAAGGGTGACCATGGATTTGCAATCAGCCACTGCTCCTCTCCACCCCAGCCCGAGAAAGGACTGTGAGGAGAGAAAGGAAAATGTGCCTGTGGGAAGAGTCAGGTCCGCTGGCCGCCCCTCCTAACAGAGGAACTAATTCCACGGAACCCTTAGTAGGGAAGTTTGCAAACTGCTACTCGAGGGACAAGCTTTCTTTTCAGAGTGACCCTGACCACTACAGTCTTATGAGAAAGTGTGACTGGCTAACGAAAATGAACACTACTGAGTGCTGACATGGATGGAGCTGGAACTTTCACTCGTGGGTAGTGGGAATGCAAACATACAGCCACTTCACGAAACAGGTTGGCAGTTTCTTATACAGTTAAATGACACTGACCATGCAACCCAGCATTCCTACATATGTGCCCAAAGGAAGTGAAAACTTGTGTTCACACAAAAACCTGTACACGATTGTCTACAATTGTCATAGTAGACAAAAACTAGAAACAACCCAAATGTACCTCAACAACCCAAATGTCCCTCAAGTGGGGAAATGGATAAACAACTGGTGGTACATCCACACAATGGAACACTATTCAGCAATAAAAAGGAATGAACTACTACAACACAGATGAATATCAGATGGATTACGCTAAGTCAAAGAAGCCAGACTCAGAAAGTGATTCCACTTATTTACTGTATGATTCCATTTATACACATTCTGGAAAAGGCAAACTTATAGAATACAGATCAGTGACTGTCAGGGGTTGAAAGCAGAGAATGACTACAAAGGGCATGGGGAAATATTTTGCAGTAATGGAACTATTCTATATCTTGATTGTGGTGGTGGTTACATGTGTTTGTCAAAACTCACAGAACTAAATGCCAAAATAGTGAATTTTACTGATATACGTCATTTAAACACACACACACACACACACACACACACACACACACACACACACACTGTGAAGGGTACTTATTAAGGAAGAAGGCCTCTTTAAGAATGAAAAATGAAAGGCCACTTTAAGAATGAAAGTGTAACAATGAGCACAGATGCTGGGGTGCCCACCCACTGAAGTGGATGGGTGGGGTCACTGACCTCAGATCTTAAATCACTATTTAGTATAATGAAATCTGGTGTAAGTCTGGGTTCAGACTCTCATTCCAAGTTCTCATAACCTACCCTGGGAATTTTAAAATAGGGGAAAAGGGCACCCTGTGTCAGGGAGGTCACTGGTGGTTCTATATAACTCGTGCTGGGCACAGGTGACTGTGGGCACACAGCCAAGGACCCTAAGCATTTCTGTCGAAGCTTAGTTCAACTCTTACCAGTTATTGCTTTCAAGCCTAGGCTAAGGAATGTGTCTTAAGCGAGCAAGTGTTCTGAGATGTGGAGGAAAACAAACTCTTAAATTTGGCCAGTTCCTCCCTCCTTGCATCATCTTCATGATATCCTGGAAGACAGAACTGAGGCAAGAGTTTGGACCTTTCATTTTACAGGCCTGCCAGATGGTAACTGGTCCTCTGTCCCCTAGCCCTTAATAATACCTTGCGCTTGCATTCTTTCCAGCAGCTTAGAAAGCGCATTCACGAGCATATCTGTCTATAAGGTGGGCTGAGCAGGCAGGTATCACCCTGTGGTATAATAAAAAATGTCTGGTCTTTGTCCTCATTTCCTGACACAGAGATTCAAAAACCCTTGGAATTTCCTGAATGATAGGAGTGTCTCTGTTATACCAATGAGATGATTCAAAGTGAGTCCCTAGAAAGTTTCAGGATGGGAGGTGGTCACCGAAAAGACCAATCATGTGATTAGAAGGTTGGACCTTTGGGCCAGCTTGATCTCCAGAGAGGGGAGGGGGCTGGAGATTGTGAACAATCATGTGGCCACTGATTTAATTAATCATGCCTACATAATGAAACCCCAATAAAAACTCTGGACATAGTTTCCTGCTTGGTGAACACACTGATGTGCTGGGTGTGGGGTGACATTGCCTGGATTCCACAAGGAAAGGGCATAGAAACTATGCCTCTTCCTAGACCTTGCTCCATGTATACACTTTATTATAAAACTGTAATCATAAGTGTAGTACTTTTTGAACTCTGTGAGTCATTCTAGTGAACTATCTAACCTGGATGTTGTGGGAACCCCCAAATTTGCAGCCGGCTGGTCAGATGTGGGTGGCCCCAGGGGGACCCCCCCAAAGGCGGACGTCTAAAGTAAGGGCAGTCTTGTGGAGGGCTGAGCCTTTAACTTGTGGAGTCTGATGCTAACTCCAGGTGGTTTTTATCAGAATTGTACCGCAGTACTCCCAGCTGGGGGTGAAACGAAAAACACCGTCACGTGAAAGTGAGAAACTGAAGCCTAAGCCTTTTTAATCATTTCTTCAACAACCCAGTGATCGTGTACTTGGCTGGAAGGAATACCTGCAGCGTAGGAAGGGTGCCATTAAACGCTGTCAGTCAGGAGGTTGCATCTTTTTAACATGTCTTAAATTGAGAGTTTAAAGGTTTTGTAGAAAGCAGTAAAGAAGTGATTAAGAGTATGGGTGTAGGGATGACAGACCCCAAGTTTGAGGACTGGCTCTGCCACTCGCATGATCTTGGAAAGTTGCTTAACCTTTCTATGCCTCAGTTTTCTCATCTGTAAAATGGAAGCAACAAAACCTACTTCAAAGGGCTATTAGATGATGAAATGAAATGATGCATGAAAAGTGCCTAACAGTGCCAGGCACACAGATGGTGCTTAATTAATTATAGCTCCGATTACGATTCCTGTCCTTGAGTATGGTTTCTTTAAGATCTAACCAATTACTAGTTGAACCCTAGACAAAAATGTTTGGCTGCAGTTAAATGACATGGAGAGTCCAGGCAGAGGAGATCATTTTGTGTTCTCAGGGTAGAATAAGGGGATTCAGAACCTGATGGTTATTTTTGGCAATTTTTCTCATACCTTGTTAGGATCCAACTTGGTTTTGTCCACAGGAGTGGAGTCTTTTATCACTTCCACAAATTCCGCACCAAAACACTGACCATAAAATCCCTAGGTTAGAAGAACAAATAGTTTATAAAGGTTATTTAAACATAATGCAAGTACTTATCTTCTCAGATGTGAAATATGTTTGGAACAGTGCAAGGTAGAATTTGCTCATTGATTATTGAGAGTCCCTCTGAGCTAATGAGGAATGTTCAGCATTTCCGGAGATAAAAATAAAAATACAAGGAAGTGCAGCACTGTCAACTGATCTATGCTGTCTTGTAACATGTATGCTTGGCCTCCAATGCATCCAGCATCATCATATTTCCTGAGGCATCTTCAGGGGTATCACACTATTTACTTTCACCTTTTGTACCCAGGGAACTTGGAGGTTACCAGGCTTCCCATAATGTGGCAAACCACAGTGCACAAGAAGACAAATATCTACCTCTAATTCCAAGTGGGAAGACAATATTAGGGAACCAAGTGCCCCGGGATCACCTGCTAGCTCTCCTTTTCATAGGCTGAACAACTTTGGGCAAGTCACCCAATTACTCTGTGGGCCATGGCTTCTTTGAGTCGAGTAAGAATAAAAGTCCCTTGTTCAGCATGGATGGATAGTGTAAGGAGAAACTAGGCGACAAAAGTGTTTTAAGGTTTACAGTCATAAGACGACATAAATTTGAAGCGATAGCAAGAATGCATAGGAGTGAATCTTTGGTTCATGGTTGTCAGCAGCCTGGTGGGTTTTGTCTTGGGGACACCCTTGCCTTTCTGACACCCTTGCGTTTCTTCCTGGATTCTTAGTGCTTTCAATGTCCATTTCCTTTTTTCTGACTTTACGCTGTTTCTCTTTTTCTCCATTCTTTCAGCTTTTCCTCCATGAACAAGTTGCTTTTTTCTGTTTTATTATGAACCAAATGTAAATCGCAGGTTGGAGTCTGGGCTAGCCACAGCCCACGGGATAGCTGCTGCCCAGTGTCTCCGTATCCGAATGGAATGTGCTGTCTTGTGACACCAAAAAGATGGCCAAACCATTTTCTAGGGCTGATTCGGTATTTTGCCCAGATTACTTCAAAGTCAAAATGATACCCTTCAAGCTGATAAAACTCAATTATTCTGTATCTGATGGTATACATTACTCACATTTGAAAAGAGCTATAAATATTCACCATATAAATTTATAAACTTTGAAAAGCATACATAGATCTTGGGGGAAAATTATCCAAATTTTGTTTTCTTCATATCTCACCTAATACCTTCATATTATAAATGCAAAGTGGAGATGTTTATGTAGAGATCAATGAAGAATCCGTGACTCATTTTTTTTTTTTTTGTAATGACCCACTCTAACTTGTTTTTGTGAAGTATACAATGTCAGATACACAGAACCACTTTTCTTACCTCTAGTCTATGCGAGATCTCGGGAAGTTTGGTAATTGCAGGTTCTTTGTAAACAAATTCCTGCTCATCCAAATCACCAAATTTGGATCCATAGAAACCAACTCGGAAGTAGGTTCCAAACATTCTCTTATGATCCTGTAAACAAAATAAGAAATCTCTCCTTAGTTATATAATTCCTGAAGATCCATTAGGTTGCAAAGGGCAGGAGTCTTTTCTTATGTTACAAAGCATTTTTATACAGCTGATGTAAACAGAAATCACTCCCTTAAAAAAAAAAAGTAATGTTTATGGCATAAACTTTGGAAATAATATCAAAAGAAATCCCATGAAAGATTTACGAGCCTTTTAAAAAGTGCATTTAAAAGATTCTCACATTTTTTGGTTATAAAGTAATTCAAGCTGCCTTCTTTCACACCCTAAATTCTGGTTCCCTGTCTATTCCCAGCCCTTTTCTGTTGGGTAGATGAGAGTTACAGTAGTGATGTGCTCAAGGTGAATCCCTCCTTAGAAAGGAAGGAGGGCTGAGCATTTCTGAGACAGGGACTCCTGCCACCAATTAACAGGACCTGTGAGCCACAGTCCCCAGCTACCTTGTTAATGATGCTGTCAAAGGCCTTCTGCAGCTTGTCGTGAGTGGAGGTCAGCTTCCGGAAGTCTCGATGCGCTTCAAGGATGGGGATGACCAGCTTGTAAACCTCGTTAACTGTCTCATACAATCCTCCCTTGGAAAGAGGAGAAGAAAATCAGAGAGAATTTAATCTAATGGAAACTTACGAAGAGCAACCAGAGTTCATTATCCAAACAATGTGCAGGAGAATGGATTTATGGTCGCACACGGTATTTTACAGAGCGGGAGCGGTGTCCGAACATCTTTGGGATGGTTTGTAGCACCCACACTGAACCAGACACATGCTAAATGGCCCTGTAAGCAGGAGGTGACAATGGCAGCAGGAGCTAAGAGCAGCTCAGGAAGGCAGCTTCAGTGTATGTAAATTTCATCAGGGTCCCCTGTAGCCAGATGCTCAGTGCATGCCTCAGAGGAGTTAGGATTCTAATGAATTAATTTTCTTGAATTTCATGAAAAACAAGAGTGTATTGAGCATTTTCTAAATACTGAAAGGAAAAGCAGGAAAAAAATGAGAGAAGATAGCTAAAACAATCGTTAAAGTACATAGAAGTTAGAGGAAAAAGTTGGAAATGAAAAGTAGGAAATAAAGAAAAGTGTAAGAACGAAAACAAAATTGAATCAACTAAATACAGTGAAGTATTAAGGATTTACTTGGCTTAAAATCTGGGGGAGGAGGGAGATTATTAAAATGAAAATGGATGAGAGACTCCCCCTTGCCCTAAATCTCAATGACTTGATGTATAAATTTTTTCTCTTGTTAGGAGCATTTGGATCCAGGGTAGATCCCCTCCCTAAGGCGGGGAGTGGCAGTGATTTGTTCCCAGGTTTCTCGGAGCTAGTCCTCAGCTGCCGTGATCCTGGAGACTCCCCAGTCCTTAGGCGGGAACACACTGTCTCTTTATTCCTTCCTTCTCCTCCAGGGGCTCCTCCCCAGTGTTTTCTCCATGAGAGGAGAAACGAGGGAGGGAGAACATGCCTCCTCATCTGTTGTGTAACCCTGGGCAAGGCACTTCACCTCTCTGTGGCTTACTTTCCACCCCTATTAAATAGAAATAATGCTGGGAAGCCTCTGCCCAGCCAAGGAGCATGCAGTGAAAAGCAGAAGACTGCAGGATGGAAGCCTTCCTCACCTCCCTCGGGGGCTGATGCAATTTGCTCCCATCCAAGTCCTCCCCAGGCCCATCCCCGCCCTGCACGCCCCGGTGTGTGGTGCTGGAGTGGGGCTGGCCGGGCAGTGGGACTGGGTGTGGCCAGCACCCTGTGACTGGCCCGAAGGCGTGGGGCCAGGCCCTGGGCCACCCGGCACTGACCGTGCAGAAGAGCTCCGCCGCCTGCTCCAGCAGGCCCACCAGCCCGCTCTCCGTGAAGTACCGGCCCGAGCACACCCCGTCTTCGTCAGGAGACAGGGTGTCGTCAGAGACCGCAGACTCCTCCAGCACGTTGGAAGAAATATTCTGCAAGAGATCACAGTGTAATCCTGAGAACAGGGAACCAGACTCATAAGACGAAACCAAGACGTAGGGAGAGGAAGCCGATGCTCAGATCCTTACCAGGGGTGTGATGACACCAGGTCTGTAAATCCACTCAAGAGGGCTTTGGGCTGCCACTCATTTGGAAGGGACACACTGAGCAACTGGTAGTCAAGCCTCATTATTTTCTTTTTAACCATTAGAAGATTGTTTTTTTCCTTTTTGTCTTTTTTCATGTTCGGCAACGGATGGCAACCCTCAGTGTCGCGTCTGTACTGGACCGGGACCGGCAACGGGATGGCAACCCTCGGTGCCGCACCTGCACCTCGCTCAGCCAGTGAGCGGGAACCGGTCTGTATGTGGGATCCGAACCCTCGGCGGGAGCGCCGCCGCGCTCCCAAGCGGCGCACTATCCAGTGCGCCACCGGGCCGGCCCAACCATTAGAAGATTTTATGTGAGGGGCACTTACTTCAATGAGACAACAGTTGAGTTACTTTATGAAACAACCGTGAGGGACATACAGTGGGGTCTTGGTTTTTAAAAGGCAAAGGACAATTAACAGTGAACTAGACTCCTTGTGTCACCAGCTGAGTGAACCCCTGACTTTTGGGGGTGTTCTTCTGAAGTACGTTGCTACTGCTGACTTGACTTTCAGATGAATAGCCATAGTATATGACAACAGCAGGTGAGAATGTCTTCTTTATGGAAGTTTTTATGGCAATGCAGCAGTTACTGTTTTCTCCCCCATTTTGCTTCTATACATTTTCCCTTCACATAACTTACAGAGTTTAGGGCTTCTAGAAGAGAAGGCCGTGACCAGGGATAGGGTGACCCAAGTGAGAAACCTGGGGCACAGAACTGAGGGAGTCACTCACTCTCAGGGCCATGTGTGTGCTGATCCTGTACTAGCTTGACCCTGAGAGTGAGTCCTCCTTACATTCTGCACCTTGTACGCCTCCCCCACCTCACTCTAGTGCTGGTCCTGGCAGTGAGTCTCATACTCTTGACTGGTCGAGAGTCATTTTCTTCTTTATTCACAGCCATGGAATAAATGCACATGGAGCAAAGAAGAAATGGGAAATCTTCCTGGCTTAGGGATTGCAAACAGGTAGCACACATGCCACCACTTCCTATTGCTGTGCTCATGGCAGGCATAACAAATCAATATAGTACTTTTTCCTTGAATGTAGTCTCAAAATTCTTCTGAGCATAGTGCTCCAGGTAGCCACTACCAATTCATTAGGGCTGGCTTATAAAAGCTGTCTGCCTTCTGGCCTGGCTAGCAAGATCCAGTGAATCAGCCTTAGCAGTCAATGAGGAAATAGTTATCAAAGCCCTATCTCTTCATAACCATTATTGTAATGTAGTTTTAGGAATATATGAGAAGGGTCTTAGAGTTTTTTTGTGGTCAATCTTTCCTCTAAACCTGGCCTCTCTATTATGACATTTCTGAATTGGAGATAACAGAAGGTCCAAGAGATTCAGATAAAAGAATCTAATAACTGAGAAAACTAATACTATTAGAATTGTACACAATTTTCCACATGTATAGAAACAGATTTGAAGCTATGTAGCCTTATTAGCTGCAGTCAGAGGAAAAAGATTTTGGGCAGACGTTATTGGCTTCAGAACTAGGGAGGTAAATGTAACAGCAGTATCTGAGAATGTGTCCATCTCTACATTTGTGAAATAAATCTTGCACTCTGGGGCATAGAATTTCAGTGATCTCAGTTACTTGGAATTCAGTGACCTCAAAGTTATTTTCCTTGCACAAATTTATCTCTAGTTCATAAGCCTTTTCCAAAGGCTCAATTTTATTGAAGTAGAACAAGGTTGAAAACTAAAGTACAGAGCATTTAAGAAATCAACAGTGGGCATCTGTTGTTAATGCTGCCCAGAATTCCTTCATCCTTCTATAAAGTTGGCATCCTGAGTTTTTGGGGAGGGGGGACCATTCATAACTCCAGGTGTGGGGTTGTGACTCTGGCTCAGAGTCATTATGATTGGTTCGGGGATGAGTACTGACCCAGTCAGAACCAATAAGATGCACTGAGACTTTCTCTGCAACTACAAGCAATGGGGCATCTCTCTTCTCTACTGGACTTGAACTCGGAGAGGTAAGCCTAAATCTTACGCAATCAGTGTGGGAAGCCTGCGAAGAATGAAGCTGACAACAGAAGGCAGAGACAGGATATGGTGATAACACTGGTCTGATGACACTGTTTGGACCCCTAGGTCCAGTTTGGCGGGTGCTACTCCAGCCTTACCTCCCTCACTCAGGCTGGCAAATTCTACTTTTTACTTTGGGTCTCTGGGTTGGGTGTTCTGTCACTTGCAAGCATGTACAAGGGTACTTCAAAAAGTTTGTGGAAAAATAGAATTAAAGATAATATGGATCTTTCCATGAACTTTTTGAAGTACCCTGGTATCTCCAAACTGATTTGGCATGTCTCGTGTGAGAGAAATGAGAAATCATTCATAAGCATCAACATCATTTGGCTTTCCTTCTGTAGATGAGAACACCTGACTCCTCCTGTTCTGTGCATCGTGAAGGCCTCACGCTTCTCGGTTTCTTCTGCCTCCCTTTTTGCCTTCTTCACCCCTTCTACAGAACCCCAGGCTGGGCCATAGTATAAACGCTCAGGGCGTCTTGTGCCTCTTTATGGCAGCGTTGATAGGAATTGTAATTGAATAAAGAATTGAATCATGAGTTAAATGATGTCTCTCTGGCTGAATATAGAGTTCATGAGGACGGAATAAATGCTCAATAAATATTCTCTAAAAGAAGGAGTGGGTAGATAAAAGCATATGAAAAGATAGAGCTGTGTGCCCCCATGTAGGGATAATGTGGAGTTTTTCTGTTGGTTCTAGAATAACTATTCTCTCTCTTCTTACTGTGTTTCCTTATAAGAAAATCAATTGAATTCTAGGTAAAATTAGGATAGTAAGGCTTACTAAACATAAAAGTCAATAACAAAATGCAATTAGTATTTAAATGTTAAATATTAAATAGAATACAGTAGCTGTGAGAAAGGCATGCAAGAATTACAAGAAATAGTTTAGTAAATAAAACAAGAAAAGGAGATGTTACAATGCAACATTAAGTGATAAACCAAAAGATTTTCTGGGAATTAAAAGAGTAGTACTATAGTATTTACCCTTGATAATACCAAATGGCAGAAATAAATTTGATGAACGAAGCAGATACATCTAAACTAATTTTTATACCTTTCTTGTTAACTTTTACATGATTCAAAATCAGATGTAATATTTTTATGCTTTTGGATAAGAGTTTAATTATTTGCTTTTATAACAAACATCTCTGAACTGAGAATAAAATTAATTTTCCAAGAATAAGATCATAGAATAAATATTTTTGTTTTTGAAAACCATATGAAAGAAGGAGCTAACAATATGAGACAATAGCCCGTTTGGCAGATGAACAGTGTTCCAGGAAACCAGAAGCTCCCAGCTGCACTAGCGGTAGTTTCAGTGACTTATTCTCTAAGCCTGGGAAAGCTACTTTGAATTTTTTTTTCTTTCTGGTTCCCACAGCATCACAAAATTGTGTGGAAGACTAATAATGAGAACAAAGCCTTTCATAAAATCAGTCATGTAAATTCAAGCAAGAATAATACAAACATTTGTAAATAATTGTGTGAGTCTGACTTGAAAAGAGCTTTATTGCACACAGCATCACAAAATTGTGTGGAAGACTAATAATGAGAACAAAGCCTTTCATAAAATCAGTCATGTAAATTCAAACAAGAATAATACAAACATTTGTAAATAATTGTGTGAGTCTGACTTGAAAAGAGCTTTATTGCTATGGCTATATTGTTCATGGTTTCAGGAACGATCATCTCTACACATTATGTCTCTTGAAAAAGAGTACTCATAACACAGTTTTGTTTTTTTTCTCTAAAGGCTGTATTAAACTATTCAGTGAGAATAATCCAAGTGGCCTCTGAGCAACCCAGTCTGAGCCAACTTTTAGGTCTGGCAGACAATCTCCCTTCGCCAACTATGGGTAATTTTCAGCTTATCCTAAGAAAGTATTGATTCAGCCTTTTGTTTCCCTTCCCAGGTCAATTTGATTCTTTCTTGATTTTGGATCAGGAGTGGGACCCTACAGAGTCAGGGAGTGGAATCAAAGGAATGGGCTATGAGTGAAATCATTTCTCCAATGTTCAGAAATACTTTCATGGTTGTCGGTATATGGTGCCAACTAGAAGTCTTTGACAAAGAGTCTAAATGACCTTAGATAAATTTCTCTCTCAGTTCCTTCATCTGTGAGTTGGGAGTAACTCTCCACCTGCCCCAAATGAAAAGCAGGCATATGAAAGTCTTTGACAATGTCTACTAAAGTGGCTATCAACTCTAGGTACCATTATTGCAAACAATAATTAAAAAAAAAAAAAAAAGAAACCCAAGATGGTAGAGCAATTAGAGAAGGAAGTACAATACGTTAGCACAGGGTTTTCAGCCTTGGCACTACTGACAATTGGGGTTAGATAATTCTCATTGGAGGGAGCTTTCCTGTGCATTGTAGAATGTTTAGCAGCATCCCTGGCTTCTACTTATTAGATGTCAGGAGCACCCACCTTCCCTCTTCCAGTGGTAACAACCCAAAATGTCTCCAGACCTTGCTACATGCCCCCTGGAGTGGGGGGCAAAATGCCCTCTGGAGTGGGGGGGCAAAATGCCCTTGGTTGAGAACCACTGTGCTAAAGAAAATGTTGAACTTGCCCCCACCTGAAAGCTGACGCTGCCCACTGGCAGGTAGCTGTGGTCCTCCAGCATGCTCAGGTACTCGGCCACTAATGCGGCTGCATGCACCAGGCACATGGCGGCCTCTGTGTAGCACTTCCTCTTGGTGTGTTTCTCCGCCATGTTCTGGAGCCAGGTCAGGCGCAGATCAGGAGATGTCTGGTAACTCTTGGCAATTCTGAAGACAGATGGAGAAATAGTTTCAAGGACAACTGGTTAATGACACTTCTACTGTTTGTGGCCAGTTTTTTCCCCCAAGAGTTCCCACTCCCCAGCCCCCAAAATTTTTGCTTACATCTTCAGAAAATGAGAGAAAAGGCAAATATTTATTAGTCCGAATGTTTTCATTCCATGTCTAGGGTGTGCTGGACCCCAAGAAATAGTACTTAGTAAAAGCTCTATGGGAAAAAAAGACTTCATAAAATGATGTCCATTTTAATGGATCTCAAGCAATTTTCTTCCTTTTTTTTTCTTTCTCTCAAAATAACAACAGAAGACAAAAATACTACCCTTCTTATTATGTGGCATCAGGACAATTTTGTCTCTGTAAGTAAGTTCTCCTGAACAAGGATTGGAAGGCAAAGTTTTAAACTACCAAGTAAAATATGATTTCTAAAGTAAACCCATACATGTGTGTCTGGATATAACTGGAACAAAATCATATAGGAAATAATTCATATAACAGGTGGTAATTCTTATCTCTCATTCTATAGTAAGTAGAAGATAGTGTTATAAAATAAGTACCTCATTTTATTTTATTTTATTTATTTATTTATTTATTTTTTTCCTTTTTGTCTTTTTTTACTGACCGGTAACAGGGTCACAACCCTCGGTGTCGCGCCCGTACCAGGGACCGGCAACGGGATCGCAACCCTCAGTGTTGCGCCTGCACCGCGCTCAGCCAGTGAGCGGGAACCGGTCTCCTAATTTCCTCCTTTTTCCCTGTGCCTAGGTGAATCTTACTCCAGCCTTTTAATCTTCTCACCCCCTCTCTAAGCCTTTCCTGGCTACTAGCTTGTTTATTAATCATCCCCTCCGTTTCTCTAACTTCATGTAGCATTTAGTTTCATACCACACACTGGGCCCTTAAGTATTAATTGTCTTTTATTGCATCCTAATTGTTTTGAGACTGAGCTCTCCAAATAGACTGTTAGCATCTTGGAGCTGAGACAGTGGTGGATGTTTTTTTTGTACCTCTCAGAGCACTGAGAACATATGCATATTCGACAGGCAATAAATACTTGTAAATTATATATATATATATATAAAGTTTTAATTGGCTGATCCCAAGCCGATGCATGAGACAAGGTATGTTGTTCAGTCTACCTGAGTGGGAAAAGGAGTTGACTGCATGGCCGTGTCCTCTTCTGAATAGGCCAAAATCGTCCTCAAGGATCTTCTCAGGTACTCCTCATTAAAGTCTGGTGCTTTGCCCACCAAAGATGCCAGAGACATGGTTACTTGCATCTTTACTCTTGCAGTACCTCTCAGAGCACTGAGAACATATGCATATTCGACAGGCAATAAATACTTGTAAATTACATATATATAAAGTTTTAATTGGCTGATCCCAAGCCGATGCATGAGACAAGGTATGTTGTTCAGTCTACCTGAGTGGGAAAAGGAGTTGATTGCATGGCCGTGTCCTCTTCTGAATAAGCCAAAATCGTCCTCAAGGATCTTCTCAGGTACTCCTCATTAAAGTCTGGTGCTTTGCCCACCAAAGATGCCAGAGACATGGTTACTTGCATCTTTACTCTTGCAAAGTTCTGCATCAGAAAAAAGAAAGAGAGAAAAAAAAAAAAGATGGAACAAATAAGAGGCACTCGGCTAGTGAACGACTGAAGGCAGTAGGGTCAGACATGAACAGCTCCCCAGTGTTTCTTTTACCCCAGTCTTAATCATTTCCTTTTCTCTCAATGAAATGTGAGCAAGACTTTGCACAACATTCACATTATTGTTTAAATGGTTTAAATGGATGTTGCTCTCACATAAATCTGTCAGGCTCCCTTTAAATTTTCATTCAGATAAAAAATTGGGTTTTTTTTTTTTTCATTGAGTATTGGACTGCCTCCATAGTGCAATGCCGGAAGATTCCTATAAAGTTGGGCCAAAGGATATATCCTTTTGTGCCAAGATTGTCTTCTTGAGACTTTGTGTAAACTGCAAAGAGGAATGGGGCCTCCATGGCCTGGATTTCTGAGATTTTGGATTCTGGGTAAGCAGCAACTTCTTGTTAAAGTTGGGCCAAAGGATATATCCTTTTGTGCCAAGATTGTCTTCTTGAGACTTTGTGTAAACTGCAAAGAGGAGTGGGGCCTCCATGGCCTGGATTTCTGAGATTTTGGATTCTGGGTAAGCAGCAACTTCTTGTTCTCTGTTCCTTCCAATCCCATGGAAGAATATGGCTATCCCAAGGGCCCCTGAGGAATGTTCTAAAGGCTTATAAATAGTTATCCCTAATATATTCTAAGGACCCTATCTTTCTTCCATGGGCCAATTTATCTTTTAATATCACCTGAGCATGCTCATTAACATGACTACAAATGAAAATTCCAAAAGAACTTACCAAAATCTAGACAAACTAAACCAAAGGTTTAGTGTTCTACAGTAATGCTGAACTCCAAAGGCTTCTAAGCTTCAATTAAAACTCAGGTCTAGATGATACTAATCATTTAAAATTCTCTTCAACCGGTCATTCTGGTACCAGCCAGTAAGAACTTAGAAACGGAACATACTCTTCTGAATTCTTAACCTGACCAGTTTATTTTTTTCCCACTAATGATTACTTTTAATCTACATATATTCTTCCATTTCTTATTGAAACATACTGATGGAAACCACTGCATTGATTAATCTTGATATTAACTTTAGATGCAAATTCAAATGAAGGCTGCTACCATCTACCTGCTCAATTGTTCCTTTCTCACAGGAGAGAAGTAAATTGCAATACTACAAACTTTCCCTTATGTGTTTCTCCCAACCAACGCTTTGCATTGACTTTCACTACCGATTCTGGGTCACCCCACCGGTCTGAGCTCTTACACTGGTGGCGCCAAAACTGAACCTCATGAGGAGGTAGAGGGTGGCACAGGCTTGGCTCCGAGTGATGTCCATGCTGCTGCTGCAGTGGTGCAGCACTCGCTGACACAGGTCTGCGCATTGTTCCACCTCCTCCTCGAACAGCAAGTCTCCGAACTAGGAGAGACACAGGGGCCATCAGACATCACTTGGCACTTTGATACACTTTCTGGGCTGGATGCTATTGAAATATTCAAATGCCTGCTTGGGCAAGCAAAAAGTCTGGAAGAGTTAATACACTGCTCCATAAAGATAATGAGCTGCATGAGTCAGAATATAGATTTAAGCAAAGGAGTTGACTTAAGATTTAATTATGAACTGCACAGCTAAGGTCAGGGCTGCGTTATTAAGTGCATTGTTAGCCAAGTTACATTCACTGGTACAACTATGAAGGAATTAAACTGAGTTTCCTGGGTTCCTTGGAAATTATTGGTGACTAAGAAAGAAAAAATAGTCCTAATATGGGAGAGCAGAAGAATTCTACTTCTTAAATTTAAAAGATGCCAGATAGAAGGCACCAACTGAGATCTTCAATAAGGAGAAAAATAATCTGCATAGGCCATTTTCACTTTACCCAAGGATAATCAACATTCTTTAGGCTATGAGAAATTCACTTCCAAACCTTCTTGCATTTTATGACATGACATTTTGTAAGACTTACTAGTTGGAGTCATGTAATGGATTTTAATTTCACTCACATGAGGATTTAAAGAAAAAGAGTGAAATTTCAAAGTTGCTCAGTTGATTTTTGCTCTCGTGCCATAGTGGCTATGAGAGGCTATTTCACATGTCTACGGTTAGGTGCACATTTCAAGAATCAGTGCATCTTCTTTTTTCCTAGGAAGACTTAAAACCTTTGCTGTGATGCCACTTAAGACACTCTGTGGGTTTTGGTCCACCTAAAGGGAGAACGTGAAGACAGATGAGAATCTTACTCTTAATTAAGAGTAAGAAAACAAGCATCCCACATTTACCTTGGCAATGAGAGCCCGGAGTGTGGCAAAGCAGTGAGTCAGGTAGGTGGTACTCTGGTCACAGCTCAGAGAATTCACCAACACCCTCAGAACACCTCCCAGCAGGCTGTCTTTACAGTCCAGAGCCGAGCTCGCCTGGGGAAATGGAAGAACAGCATCACTGAATTCCTGCACTGTTTCAGTGGATTGAGGGGTGAAGGCACAAGAGACGTTCTGACGATTAGCACAGTGATGCTGATGTTTCGTCTCTCTCCGTGGAAGGTCTTAAGGGCTCGTGAGCCACCATGCTTGCACGTATCATCCACTAACCATGAGAGCTGAAGACGTATTCCCAAGTGACTTTACTTCAGTAGTCCCAGTTGATCTGGGATATATGCCTAATTCTGGTTCCTAAACAAAATTATAAGGCCCACCTCCCCCCATCCTGGGCCATAGCTTTTGGAATAGTCTTTCTTTGTAAACAAAGCATCGTTTTCTTCGTGGGCTTCAAAACACAATTGTGGGCTTCCCAGTAGCAATGCTTGCCTAATTCTGGTTCCTAAACAAAATTATAAGGCCCACCTCCCCCCATCCTGGGCCATAGCTTTTGGAATAGTCTTTCTTTGTATACAAAGCATCGTTTTCTTCGTGGGCTTCAAAACACAATTGTGGGCTTCCCAGTAGCAATGCTACGAAATAGAAAGTTATTTATGAGCCACAGCAGGACTAACACCACCAAAGATAATAAGTAAGTTTCAAACTGAAAATTGCAAATACATTTTGAGGACGGGTGTTAGGTATATAGCACTCAAAGTCATGCTGTATGAAGATATAACCAATGTGATGCCCAGCATTTAAGTTATCAGGGATATTAAAGTCATCAAAGATGCCACACACTTTTTGTCTTTATTTTTGTACAATAATTACTTTGATTTTAGACAACTTAAAAGTCAGATAACTTGTATTTCAAAAGTATTTCTTCTAGCCCTAAAAAGCAATACTGGACTTACTCTAATAAATGACTTCCCAAAGGAAACATGCAAGGACTCATTTTTCAGGGCAACTAAAAACTAATTATCACCTAGACTATTTGGGAATCTGCGGAAGTATCACCTAGAAGATGAAATTAGTGTGGTGCAAAGTTCATAGCAACACTATACTTTTCTACATCAGGGATGACAAATTTATAGCACAAATGACTTTCCTTCACTAATGTGAATCCAAAGCAGGCCATCAATTACCATACTCAGCACTCTTTCTTACCTGGTTTAGTCATAGCCATAGATCCCATACCAGACAGTGACGATGATTCAACTGAAGTTGAACCACCAGGAAAAAAAACCTAGTTGCCATCCCTGTTTTAGGTACTAAGCAGCAGGCCACCATCCACATCACAAAGTTGGTACACACTCAGGCAGATTTCACTGATGCCAGCTTGTCAAGCACCCACCCCTTTCCAAGTGAGCAGCCAGTCAAAGTTAAAGCAGAAGAATGTTTGGTATCTCTGAAATGTGTAAGGTGGACACTATTGTAAATAGTAAACTCCCCAACTTCCTTTTTAAAAATGGTGCTTTTAGATCATGTTTATTTCTTCCACAATTTTGTACATAAGATTCCTTATTAAAGGGCCTCTCTCCCATGGGGCTGTGCGGAGGTCTCTTTTCTTTTCGGCCAGGGCTGGGGGCCAAGATCAGGCCTTATGGATTGTCATAGGAACTGCCACAAGCTTGGCAGCCTGGCTTTCCTACCTCGGACATTTGTAGTGAAAAAAGAAAAGAAAAGAAAAAACAAATTCTAATAAACATATTTATGTTGCACAGACCAGATCAGGGGTTTGTTGTCCTCACCTGGATAATGTTTTCCTGCATGTCAAGGATGATTAAATTTGCTTCTGTAGCCAGATTGCCACTGATCAAGGCTTCTTGGTCTAACTCGGCCTTTGTTCTAAGAAAGAAAAAGAGGTCAAATTAAAGCACATTAAATCAAACCTGGCCAGGTTCTGATGATGGCTATCTATGCACCAAGGCATAAAAAATCTTCAGAATCGTCAACCTTGAAATGAAAACAAAGCAGCCGGCAACACATAACTAAGGAGTGCAGGTGCTTTCTGTGATTCATGTCGGGTTAGAAAGCTTGTCTAAGTAAAGTCTCCAGGCCATCCTCATCCTCACTATTATTAATAATGATGACAATTATAAAAATAACAAAATGAGTAGAGAGGCAATTATTGGTTGCTACTAGCAATTAGGCTAGCCCATCAGACTGTTGCCTAATGCCTCAGGGTCATGCCTGCATTTCATGCATGAGAACTATCTCTGGATCTGAGCAAGGGGAAGCCCCTGCAGCAGGCTGGAGAGAGCAAGCAAGACTGGGCGTGATGTGAGTTTGGCAAACAGCAATGCTGTTGGGTTAGGAAAGGGTGATGCTTCTCAACCCAGTCAGGGGAGAGTCAGTCTTTTAACTGCCCAAAGACCACCTTGGGATTGCTCAGCCAAGTGTGTCGGCCCTTTTGTCCCTTTTCCTTTGGGAAGCAGAGTTGCATTCCTCTGGGGTAGGTCATCTAACATCCTGCTGGACAGTACTAGTCATTACCCATTAGGTGATGGGAAATTACTGGGTGCTGCTTCTCTATTAGGTTTCGTTTTAAGGAATCAGAGAATTTATGTACTACTCCATCCATTCTCATAAAATCCAAGTAAAGCTGGAAAGGGATATTTTGTATCATCCAAATTTAGTTGCATGGAAAGGGAGGTGTGAAGAACTGACTTTCCCAAGATGCCCCAGTGGCCAAGACATGACCACAGGGGCTGGGGTGTCATGCTACCAGCTCTAATGGTGTGGGTCCTCTTAACCCAATAATGGAGTTTCCAATAGAAACAGCAGAGCCACATATAGCATTTTATATTTTGTGGTAGCCACACTGAAAAAAGCAAAAATAAACAGATAAAATTATTTTCAATATATTTTATTTAACCTAAAAATAAAAAAAAATACTGTCAATATAAAAATGACTGGAGAAATATTTTACATTCTTTTATTTGTAATAAGTCTTCAAAATCTGGAGTGTATTTTTCACTTATGCTACATTTCAATTCAAACTACCTACATTTCAAGCACACAATAACCACATGTGGCTAGTGGCTACTGAATTGGATAGCACAGATCTAGAGTGCCTGGTCTGTTTTTTTCCAAAAAATTTTTTTATTGTGGTAAAATACAGATAACATAAAATTTACCATCTTAACCATTTTAAAATGTACAGTTTAGTGGTGTTAAGTACATTTATGTGTTGTTCAACCATCACCACCATTAACTTGGTTTTTAAAAAACCTATCAGCTATTCCTTTAAAACAGTGGTTCTCAGATTTGGCTGCACAATAGAATCAATCACCTGAGGAGTTTTACCAAATACTGATTCCTGGGTTGTACTGCTGGAGATTCTGATTTAATTGGCCTAGGATACATCTGGGCACTAGAAGCCTTAATATCTCCCTAGGTGATTCTAATGTGCAGCCCAGGTTGAAAATTACTGCTCTGAAAGAAACAGAGCAGAAATAATTGAAAAGTGATCTGAAAGAAAAAGGTGAAAGATACCACTATTATAATTACAGAAGGTTTTCCAAATAGTTAAAGTGAGCAACTATAATTTTACTATGGTTTCCTTTAAAAAAAGAAAAAAAAAGGACCTAGCCCCTGAAGATTTGCAGATGTGAATCATTAGCTCTGATAATAAGCAGCACAGCAGGTAGCTCAGGGCTGAGAAATAACCTAGAAAGAATTGGCAGGCTGTGCATAGTAAGGCCTAATATTGTGTTTTTACTACAAGCAAAAGGAAAAGGTTTCCCAAAACATCAATTTACATAGCCCAGGCAAAACATGCCTTATTAGGCTCTTCTTTTAATCTTGTAGAGTAGATGACCTACCCACCTAAGCAGCTCTGTAGTACCTACTGCATGCACTTTTTTGAGGGTCACTGTTCATTGCCCGTACTAGAACATATGGACTCTCAGAACCAAGTGTCTTATAAATCAGCTCAGGGAACTTAGATTAAAAATAAAATACCCAAAGCTAATGGATGTTATTAATAGATCAACAACTGGGTTTTCCAAGTAATGTCTATAATAAAAATGTGTTTGTTTCTTTAATTTTTTAAAAATAAATTTGGCTCCTTAATTCCCATAAGTGGACCAGATGATTCATTCTTATGGTAACGGCAAATATACTAACTCATATTTATTTATAAAACAACATTGCTATTCAGTTCTGCTCCATCCCCCCACTTATGATGGGTGTTTCACATACCATGGGGGTATTCTACCTGTGCCTTATCAAGTGTGTGTGTGGGGTGTCTTTAACCATACAATGTTTTCTGCAGTGTGCCCTGGATTCATTAGAGTTCCTGTAGCTAAGAGGAATAGAAGATATGTTCTATCCAAACATATTCAGTTTTAGCCCCGATATGTCTAAATTGTTGCATATAGAGCAATATATATATAGCATAGATTGCAATCCAAGCAGGATTTTTCTTCTTTCATTTCTTTACATATTTTTCTGATAACAATATTCATCATAATACACATACATTGTAGGAAGTACAGCAAAATATAAAGAAAACACCAATTACCTATATTCCCAATACCCAAAGAAAACCACTATTAATATTTTGATAAATTTCCTTCCAGCCTTTTAAAAATGCACTTAGGTGAAGAAGGAGCAGGAAGAAATAAAATAAAATAAAAATGCATTTAGTATATGTAGTTAGAAATTTGAGATTATACTCTACAACCAAGTGTTTATCCTGCTTTTGTTCACTTAATGTTGTATCATAAGCATTTCCCACTTAGTGATATCATTAAAATTATTTCAAAACATTTCAATGGCAACTTAATATTTCCTTACATATTTCCCTATTCTTGGGCATTTTGAATGTTTACAATTTTTTAAAAATAATTTTAAGTCATGCTGACATAAATATCTCTAAGTATGTATTTTTGTACACATTTCTGGAATGGAACTATGACTTGAAATTATGTGGTCTTGGGCACCTGTCCTGCTTTCCCTATTTTCTTGCCCCTCCATCATCTGCTTTTATTAAGCTGAGGCTGCTAAATATTAATTTTCCTTAAAGCCTATCAATGTGATACACCTTTAAGAGCTGAAAATCACAACTCCTTATCCCTTTGATTATCCTGGGTCCCTGGATGAACTGTACTTACACAGACAGTGATGTTTCATTTTCTTATTCTTGGAAGGATGCAGTTGTTTTAGTAATACAAGTAGCCTGGGGAAAAAAGTTTTGGACTTTGGGTAAAGGAGAACAAAGTTGCTGAGTGACTTACTTATCTAGCTTCTCATTAGCTTGCCGCCAATGTGTCTGCTCTTTCTTCCATCTCAAATTTTCATTTAGGCCTGGAAATCGGTCATTCCCTAGGAGTTAAGAAATACACGATAGGAATTTGATTAGCATGAAACCCTCAAGATAACTAGAAGTTCATAACAAGCTCAACTGAGAGGACTCAGCACCATCTCTCCAGTTAATTAGAGTCCATGCAGGATGCTTTTAGGTGACAAAGCCACCATGTCTGTGTCTGGGTTGATCTCTCTTTGATTGATGGGCTGGAACTTAAGAAGAACCCCTGCCTTTCTGGGGTGTCAAGGAGCATATGTCTTATGAACAGAGGGCTCCAGTAAAATCTGGGGACTCTATGTCTGGGTTGGTCTCTCTTTGATTGATGGGCTGGAACTTAAGAAGAACCCCTGCCTGTCTGGGGTGTCAAGGAGCATATGTCTTATGAACAGAGGGCTCCAGTAAAATCTGGGGACTCTCACTGAATTACTGGAAGGAGAGTGTGGGTGTTGAACGAGGGTGCCCAACCACCACTGAAAAAGCTGAGCTCCCTCCTAGTTCCCTGCTATTCTATTGTGTCCCATCCAATAGAATGAGCTGTCACTCTGTTCTGCTTTGAGCACAGTGAATAAGACTCAGGGTATCTGGGCATTTCACTCTATTCTAGAGTGATGAGCTCAGGCTTTTTGAGATCATTCCTGGGGTTGTGGGGTCCTTGGAGGGTTGGAACACTTGGAGACCATTTTTGGGAGTTGGTTCTATTCTAATAGTGCCTTGAATAATTTGGGGAGATGATATTGGGCTCAGAGCTATCCAGTTTCTTGACCGTGCTCCAGATAGGCCAGCCAGCTGTCACCTAGAGAGGCCTAAGCCTTGGGGGAGGCACTTTCCACATCACCCATGACTCACATTCTTGGATGTGACCTTTTACCACCAATAAGTTTTAGTTAAAAGATACCACTTGGGGACATTTACAGGGCTCCCGTGATCTCAGAACAGCAACTTTCTCTTAGAGGTAGGGGCTAACATTACATATGTCATGCACAGAATCTCATGCTGTCTCTGATAAGAGACATAAGTGTCTCAAGAAAGGAATGGAGTTTACTCATGTTGGGAGGACATTCCTTCCCACAAAGGGTGCAAAACTGTCTGGTAGAAAGCAGGGGAGGGCCAGTCAACACACCTGGAGTCCGGCAGCGGCGCATCATCTCCCCTCTGGCCCCTTCCCCACGGAGCAAAGCTTCTTCTAGCTTGGCCTTGACATCCCTAGACTTCTGCAGAACTTGGGTGCTGACTTTGTCAGAGCTCTGTTTGCCCTGCACAGGACAGACACAGGAGGGCATTTAGTTTGGTGAGATCTCTGTCAATGGGAAGAATCATCAAAACAGAACACACCACAGTGATGCCAGCCAGTTTTGACCTGTGCTACCCAGAAACACTGTTTTGGGGGATCCTATGGCTGAAATTCTGTTAACAGGAATGGGTTTCTCTCTACAGAAGTCAGAGATCCTTTCCCTGTGGAATTATCGTACCTATAAATGCAAATAGGGATGGAATTGAATACAGAAATAAGAAAAATTAATGATGACTCCACTGCCCAAACAAAGGGCCAGAGTAACAAGACAGGATTGAGCTTAGGAAATAAGAGCTGGCCTAAAATTGAGCCACCCCATACTTACCTTGTATTCAAAACATGAGACACAGATGAAAAGCAGATCTAAAATCCTGTTCAGTTGCATCGATGGCAAGTCGGCAATCCACTTCCTAATGAGGCTCTGATCAGCATTTTTCATGATCCAGAGGAAGCAGATCATGAGGTTGCGGGTGGTGTCGGCGTTCAGCATGTTATACTGCTTGTAGGGCTGCAAGGCGGCAGGTTGGGGGATGGGGACAGGGAAAGAAGTCAACTGACAGAGGAACCACAAGCTCCAGGGATGCTAATCTCTTAGACACCATGACTGTACTTCTCCCTTGGCTGGGGATGTTTCCAGGAGCCCTGGGAACTGTGTTCTTCGTGCAGGGTTCCTCAGCAAGCAGGCTCACCTGGGGCAGTGTCTGAGCCAGGCTTTCAGCCACATAACTGAGCACCCTCTGTCTTAGGAGCAGTGTGGTCTGCTGGTCTGCCCTGGACCTTGACCATGCTCTACAATCTCGGTGATGAAAAGGGGCTTTCATGTTGCTAAGATCTCCAAGTATTTCTCCTTTAAGCTGGACAGTGGAGGGTTGGACTTAGAAAAGGGAACTAGCCTATGGCTGGGTGCCATGAATAATTTAACTGTTCACATTTTAGCTTCTTTGTTACATAGTCCGAAGTATAACATAAGGGTCATGAACTGCGGAGCAAATGAATTACATCCTTAAGTTAGTGGAGTCCTCTGTAATAGGAGCTTAACCACAATTTCTATTTGCCTGGGGGCCGGAATGTGGAAGCTCAGGCAATAGCTGAGCTTTAATACTCTGGCCACACATGTTCATTTTAGAGCTATGCACACTTTCTGTCACTCATCAGATCAACTCCAGCGACACCAGGGGGCCGCACTCTTGGCTCGCGCAGCACAGCTGATCTCCAGAGGAATGTGGTGGTGCCTCTGCAGTGAGGTGTCTGTGGGCTTGTGAGGGGAACGTTTGTTTTGGATGGAAATAATAGAGGTTAGGAAGTTACCTTAACCTTAGTTATTCTGAGCATGCTGACAAGAATGAATGAGATCTTTAGATACAATTTCACAGGGAATATGTTCTAACAGGTGAGCTTTGGGCTTTTGACTTTCACCCTTAGAGGCAAATAATGCAAGAGGCATACCCAGACTCAAGCGTCTAACTTCAGTGAGATGGATATTAGAAAAGTGTGGGAGGTGATAAAACACACAATACTTATCAAACTGTAAGACCAGTGATGTCAAATCTCAAATGTCCTTTCTCCTTCTTACTTCCCTGCCCCTCCAACCCCATGAGGATGGGGCTGGGGGTTGCTAAGTGCTGGAAGTAAGAGAAGAAAGTCATCCTGCAAAGAAGAGTTAGATGCTGCCTTCTCAGAAGAGAACCAAGTTGAGCTCTCTGCAGATATATACCGTACACTGAAACTGAAAATTAGATTAAGCTGGAGGATGCAGTGCTGTCTTGACAAGAAATAGTCAGAGCTCATCAATGAACAGAGATAAATCCCACCTCCAATGAATCAGAGGATGCATTCCCAGAGGAGCCCCTCCTTAAGCACACAGTCAGTGCAGAAGGACAGAGCCAGACAGCTCTCCTTAGGTTCCCTGGGGACCTAGAAAATCTGAAGTCTTCTGCTTAAGAAGCACTTACCAAGCTACCAGCTCCCTTCAATCTTTTTTGTGGAGGCAGACACAGTATGAATAGTAAACACATGGAATAAACACAGTGCAAACCCCCAACTTGAAGAAAGCCTTGGTTTGATCTCCTTTGCAATGATCTCAGATGTCCCAAGTTTGCCTCTGTCTTGGTTTTCTGAACCTTGAACTCAGCATCATTGGGACCGCCCGAATTTGATTTGTGCTTCCCTTGCTATTGCCAGGGACTCATGACTCAGCTGACAGCCTCATGACGAGTCCTTCCAGCAGAGAGTAGTGAGACAAAACCCATCACTGCTTGCTCTAAGCTGGGTTCGCCCACTGGAAGATGGGAGAAGACACAAAAGGAAAAATAAGCCAGAGAAATGTGCACCAACATACCAAGGAAGATAGCATTGTTCCACCTGTCTTCAAATTAAAATGGTTCCCAGCTATGGCCAGGGCCACACTCTGGTTAATTGCACTGGCCCCGTCCTGTTCTTCATCCGAGCCGCTGGTGCGGCTTTTCCCATTGCGGGCTTCTGCAGCTGCAATTGAATCATCATTGGTATGTCAAGCCAGAGATGATATTTTTCTGTGTCCCCTACCCAGTACCCAATGAGTGACTGATACTTCTTATTCACTAAAGCCAGCATACTAGTCTTATTTTTATTTTTATTTATTGAAACATTATTGATTGTACATATCTGTGGGGTACGGCATTGACTATCCATACCTAACACAGTCATTTTAAACGTGACATTTAGCATTATTTATCTGCTACGTTCTAAAGGAAAAAGCAGGTAGGCTAACAGAGACAAAATGTCAAGCACGAGATTAGGATAGAAATTAATTTTTCAAATTGTGGAAATGAAAGTTTTCAAAGCTTTCATAACACTTCCTGTCATATATTATTTGTTCACTGTATGTATATATTTTAAATACTGACCAAATAAAAATAAACCTACAATTACAGAATTAAGCAAGTACCTTATAGAATAATGAGCTTTTTATCACAAGCTCAGCAATAATTCATTAAATTTTAAGTGTTTAAAATGAATGTTAATTTATCATATCTATGTAGTTATAGATAGGTCTAGATGTATGCAAGCAAAAAAAGTATCAACCATTCAAAAGGCTGGTTTTTACAAATGCTATCAATCACATAATTTGTTCAAGCAGTTTTTTGAAAAGTGTGTTAAAACACTTGCAACTGATTGACTCACTAAAAACATGTTTTATTTGACCTGTCAGCACTATAGCCATTTACCTTCAATTTTTCAGAAAAATTTGAACGTAAACAGCTTTTAATCTGTTACAGTTGTGAAAACAGAACCCAATTTTTAGAAATAATTCACTATTGTGTTTTAAGGCAATTGGATTTTTAAACAAATGGTGAAATAAATAGCACTTGGAAATTATGCAAGACCTGATAATATTATCATGATTAATGCAAAAATACATTCTTACTTCCCCTTAATAGTTATAGGATCCTGGTTACAAGAAAGAGAGGGAAAGATACAAACATTTGCTGTGCAAATGCTTTTATAGAAGTTCTCTAGTTTCATCTTTATCACAACCCTAAGAGGTAGGCGTTGTTATCACCCTTTACAGTTGAAAGGCATTGAAAGATTGAGTAACTTTTCCAAGGTCACATAAAATAATAGATGGGCCTGGCATCTGAATTCAGATGGATCTTCTTTGAAAGACGAGATTCTTATTAGTTTATCAATGTAAAGATTCTACAGACGCATTATATTACCTGTGATAACAATACTTCTTACTGTTTTCCTTTTTGTAAGCCACATCATGACTATAAAGCTCAATGCATGTGTAAAGACGCCTTGGAGGCTTAAAAGGCTAAAAGACCAGGTGCTGAAAAGGTCTGATTCCCAGTGGCTGATTTGGAAAATTCTAATCCACAAGGACGCTCCGGGGAATATGTGCTAAAGTGGCTCCCTGCTTTGGGAGCAAACAAGTCATAGTTCTTCAAATGAAACTTTTAGAAACTTCCCCACTAGATTCTTATTAGTTTATCAATGTAAAGATTCTACAGATGCATTATATTACCTGTGATAACAATACTTTTTACTGTTTTCCGTTTTGTAAGCCACATCATGACTATAAAGCTCAATGCATGTGTAAAGACGCCTTGGAGGCTTAAAAGGCTAAAAGACCAGGTGCTGAAAAGGTCTGATTCCCAGTGGCTGATCTGGAAAATTCTAATCCACAAGGACGCTCCGGGCAATATGTGCTAAAGTGGGTCCCTGCTTTGGGAGCAAACAAGTCATAGTTCTTCAAATGAAACTTTTAGAAACTTCCCCACAAAGATTCTCGAAATTGGCTGCAAGCCGCATGTTGTGCTCTGCATGACATCCTTAAATTCTGAAGACAATTCTATTCTCAGATGCCCTACAGGCAGACACTACCGAGGAAGTTCTTCATCTCCTTGTACAGCGTGCTCACTCCTGGGTGCTAGGCTTGTTTCTCTCTCTTCCTTGCCCTTGGGCACAAAAGAATTCCACAAACCCTAACACCTGTCTCTCAATCTTTCTTTTCATAGCTTTCCCTTTAGCAGTTTGCTGGAGAAATTTTTTTTAAGAAAGGAGATAATTACTTCCCTAGGAATGCTCACCTTTCATTTTATGATTAGTATGAACGGAAGGCCATAGGTATTTGGTGTCATTTTTATGAACTAAATACTTGTTGCCGTAATGATTTTAGAAAAAATTCAGTTATTGGGCCGGCCCGGTGGCGCACTGGAGAGTGCCACGAAAGCATTCTCCAGACCCCAGGATCCTCCGTCAGTCAAGAGAGCAGCACGATCATTTCTAAGAACTTCCCTTGAGCTGATGGGAAAGTAAGAACGACTCTGAAGTGATCAGAATAGTGTATGTGTGTGTGTTTGTGAGTGTGTGTGAGCGTGTGTGTATGTGTTTCAAAGCGAGGGTAGGTGGATGGATTGTCTTTCTCAAGTCTCATTGTAAAAAAAGTTCCTCTATTTGGGAGGGGGTGTTTTTTCCATCCACATTCCCTAATCCATACTGCAATATGTAAATAGACTCAGGAGGTGCATGAACCCTTTTAAGACAATTTTTCCTTTCCCATTGCTGCTAAGCAGGAAATACTGACCTCCAAGTTAACGTTTTTGTGTGTCAAAGGCCAAATTTCCTTGTTGTGGCAGAATTTCCCAATACTGAAACACACCGTGATACTTTTTTGCATGAAACGACTGTTTGGGTTCATTTGAAACTGCTTCTTGGTTTAAACATTCATAAAAGAAAGGCAAGAAACACCTTTATTTCAAGGCATTACAGCAGTAATCTACGAAGGGAGTAATTCTGTTATTGTTAGTTCATCCTTCGTGGTGTATGGTTTATAAAGTTCAATATGTACTAGCTGATCAATGAATAAATGAATGAAAAACTAATAAGTAAATAATTTCTAAACAAAGAGCACACGGTGCTATGTGCCTTTTATTTTATTTTATTTTAAACGGATTGGGGCCTATGTTAAAAAGGTTTGGAGATCACCCCTGTGAAGAATTGCTCATTCAACCATATCAGCACTAGAGCTAATGACAGAGAACTTCTTCTGGTGGGGTACTAGGTAGGAGCCCCATCAATCCAAGGAAGGACACAGAAGGGATCATTACCTGTAAAGTCATACAGCTGTGGCAAAGCATCCAAAATGATGCCAACCAAAGGCAGGTAAAGGGCAGCGATTTTGACTTTCACCTCTGGTTTGACACAACGTGGGTCCAGGTCATGAGAACTTAGCAGGCTGTGGATGGCACTGACAGCTTTCCTTTGCACTTTGCTGATTCTGTTGGCACAACACAGAAAGCTAGAGGTTATGGGGAAGGGAGATGGACCAAAATGCTCTTAAACTATGAGTAACCAGAATGCTCCTAAACAATGAGGTGACAATGTGAAAGCCAAGAAAAATAGAGAAGTGTGTAGAGTCCAGAGACAGACTGCCTGTGTTCTAATCCTGGGTCTGCTATTTAGCATGTTTGCAAGTCACCATGTTGTAGCATCAGCACTACCTCATTCGTCTTTATTGCTGAATAACATTCCATTGTATGGATATAACACATTTTACTTATCCATTAATCGATTAATGGATATTTGGATTGTTTACACTTTTGGGCTACTATGAATGCTGCTATGAATATTTGTGTACAAGTTCTTGTGCAGATATAAGTTTTACTTCTCTTGGGTATATAACTCAGAGTAGAGTTGCTAGATTATATGGTAACTCTATGTTTAACTTTTAGGGGAACCTCCAAATTGTTTTCAACAGTTGCTGTACCATTTTACATACCTACCAGCAGTGTTTGAAGGTTCTATTTTCTTCTTGCCAACACTTGTTATTTCTGTTTTTTTAAAAAAATTTTATTTTATTATAGCCATCCTAGTGGATATGAAGTAGATTTAATTGTGGTTTTGATATGAATTTCCCTAATGGCTAAATAGTCTGATCATCTTTTAATGAACTTAGCGGTCATATTTTCTTTGGAGAAATGTCTATTCTGATCCCTTGCCCTTTTAAAAATTGAAGTATTTATTTTTTTATTATTGAGTTGTTAAATTTTTACATATATTCTAGATATAAGTCACTGATGATCTATGATTTGCAAATATTTTCTCTCTTTCTGTGGTTTGTCTCTTCACTTTCTTGATAACCTCCTATGAATCACAAAAGTTTTAATTTTAATGAAGTTCAAATTATTAGGTGTCAGGTCTAAGAAACCATTGCCTCATCCAAGTTCATGATGATTACCCGCTATGGTTGCACTTACGAGTTTTATAGGTTTAGTTCTTATGTTTAGGTCTTTAATTAATTTTGAGTTAATTTTTGTATATGTTGTGACACAGGGGTCCAGCTTCACTCTCTTGAAGATGGATATCCACTTGTCCCAGCATCCATTGAATTATTTTGGCACCCTTGTCAAAAATCAACTGACTATAAATGTGAGGATTTATTTCTGGACCCTTAATTTAATTTTATTGATTCAAATGTCGGTCTTTTTTTTTTTTTTTCAATGTCGGTCTTTACATCAGAACCACATAGTCTTGCCTACTTTCATGTTGTAGTAAGTTTTCAAATTGGGAAGTGTGAGTCCTCTGATTTTGTTCTTTTTCAAGATTATTTTGGCTATACTGGGTTTCTTGAATTTCTAAATGAATTTTAGGGTCAGCTTGTCAGTTTCTGTAAAGAAGCTAGCTGGGATTTTGAGAGGAATTGCATTGAATCTACAGATCAGTTTGGGGAGTATCACTATCTTAACAGTATTAAGTCTTCTCATCCGTGAAGTGTGATGTCTTTCCATTTATTTACATTTCTTTATTTCTTTCAAGAGTGTTTTGTAGTTTTCGGCGTATAAGTCTTGTACTTCTTTTGTTAAATTTATTCCTATGTATTTTATCTTTATGCTATTTTAAATGGATTTGTTTTCTTAATTTCATTTTAAGATTGTTCATTACAAGTGTATAAAAATACAATTGATTTTTATACAGTCCTCTAGTACCCTGCAACCTTGCTGAACTCATTTATTAGTTTTAATAGTTTTCAGTGAATTCCTTAGGATTTGCTATAAACAGTATCATGCCACCTGTGAATAGAGATAGTTTTACTTCCTCCTGCCTCATATGGATTTCATTTTCTTGTCTAATTGCCTTGGGTAGAACTTCCAGTACAATGCTAAGTAAAAGTGGCAGGCGCAGACACTCTCATCTTGTTTCTGATCTTGAGGAGAAAGAATTCAGTCTTTTACTAGTAAGTATAATGTTAGCTGTGGGTTTTTCATGGGGACCCTTCTTCCGTTTGAGAAAGTTCCCTCACATTCCCATAGGGCTCGTTGAGCATTTTTAATCAGAAAGAATTATTAGATTTCATCAAGTGCTTTTTCTACATCTATTGAGACGACTATGTGGTTGTGTTCCTTTATTCTGTTTATATGGTGTATCGTAACAGTTCATTTTCAGATATTAAACCAATCTTGCATTCCTGGGATAAAGCCTACTTAGCCATGGTGTATAATCCTTTTTAATATTATTGGATTCAGTTTGCTGGTATTCTCTTGAAGATTTTACATATATATTTATCAGATATTGGTCTGTAGTTTTCTTTTCTTGTGATGTCTTTATCTGGTTTGGGTTTTAAAATAATGCTGACCTCACAGAATGAGTAGGGAAGTATTCTCTCCTCTTCTGTATCTTGTAGGAGTCTGTAAAGGATTGGAGTTAATTCTTTAAGCATTTGGTAGAATTCACCATTAAAGTCCCCTGGTCCCGTGCTTTTCTTGTGGAATTAAAAAAAAAAAAATTATTAATAACTCAATCTCTTTACTTGTTATAGGTCTATTCAGATTTTCTATTTCTTCTAGCCCCTGGTCCTGTGCTTTTCTTGTGGAATTAAAAAAAAAATAATTATTAATAACTCAATCTCTTTACTTGTTATAGGTCTATTCAGATTTTCTATTTCTTCTAGGAGTCAGTTTTAGAAGTTTGTTTCTTCTTAGGAATTTGTCCATTTAATCTAGGTTATTGAATTTGTTGGCATACAATGATTCATATTATTTCTTTGTAATTCTTTTTATTTCTGTAAGGTTGGTAGTGATGTCCCTGCTTTCATTCCTGATTTTATTAATTTGACTCTTCTCACTTTTTTCCTGGTCAGTCTAGCTAAAGGTTTGTCAACTTTTTTGATTTTTTCAAATAACAAGCTTTTGGTTTTTAATGTTTCCCTATTGTTTTCCTAGTCTCTATTTCATTTATTTTGAAATAATTTAGAAATCACCACATGTTGTTAAAGGACAATTAAGAAAACATTGTGTGTGTGTGTGTTATTTTCATTTCCTTCCATCTGCTTACTTTCGGTTTAATTTGCTCTTCACTTTCTAGCTCAGTGTATATTCTTTTGATACTTTGTTAAAACCATGTGCACATATTTACATATTAAAAAACAGTAAATTAAAATTAAAACAAAAAATTAGGCTGTATTCATATTGCAAAGAAATGAGTTCCCAATATCCTTCAAGAATCATGTACAGAAAAATACATAGCATCTTTTTTCATAATAGCTCCAAATGAAGTAACCTAAATGTCCATTTAAAGTAGACAAATTATAGCATATTCACACAAAGGTATGCTGCAGACAATTGAAAGGGAAAATGAACTATCTATACATGGAACCACACACAAGGATCTTACAAGCACAATATTCAGCAAAAGAATATGAAGTTCAATAATAGGCAATACCAGTCTCTGGTGATAGAGTCAGAATAGTGGTTACCTGTGGAGGGTTTATGACTGAGAGGGGACTTCGGCGAATATTCTGGGGTGCTAGAAATATCCTGTATCTTGATCTTGCTGGTGGTTACCAAAGTGTATTCATAGATAAAAATTAATTGCACTTTACACATAAGATTTGGGCCCTTTACTGTGTGTAAATTATACTACAATAAAAAGTAAATAAAATAAAATAAAGCATCTAGTAGGGTATTTGGAACCTAGCTGTAGATGTTAAATTTTAAAAATATACTTTTCTTCTTTCAAACAAAATAAGACTACATCAGAATCCAGGGTTATATGGAAAACATTAACCAGATTTTCAAATAACACAAATTCTTACACTACGATTAAAATAAGATAATTGGAAATTGCATTTGAAAGGTTGCTCTTGTTCTGGCTACCATCTTAGTCTGTGGTCTTGGCAGTAGATTGTGTTTTGAATATGGCAATGCAATTTGCAAGTTTAACACAAAGATGCTAGACAATTTCCAAATGCTTGAAAAACACTGTGGATTTAATAACGTGTGGACATTTGTGGACACAAGGTATGGGGGGCGGGGTCCAGGGAGGCCCACTGGAAACTGGAGCTGTGGCTCCTTACAGGGGTCCAGGTACTGAGATGTGTCCCACTGGCCCTTACACCACAGATGGGCAGGTGTTGGCAAGTCTATTAATTGTCTTGGCAGCAAAAGGAAGTGCTGATCAATAGGAAGTACTGTTAAAGGATAGAATTTTTCTGAAGTTTAAGCCTACGTGGTAAAACAACCCAGCAATCAGGGATTATTGTGTTGCCAAAGAACTGACACTGTTAATTAGTTACCCTCTAAGGGGCAGAGAAAGTAATGTGTGTGTGTGTGTGTGTGTGCCTGTGTGTGTTTGAAGAATGTATCTACCTGATTAAACATAATTACATGATGATCTGTGAACATACTCCACTCTGTTGCTAGTAAAATAATGGCAACAATTTAAAAAGGAATCAAAAACAGATGTCACGACTGTTTTGGATTAGAAGGAAAATGGAAAATAGAAACTACCTCAAATGTAAATACTAAAGACAACTTTCAGAAATCACTTAAAGCAGTGCTGTTAAAGGACAATTAAGAAAACATGTGCAAGTGTGTGCATGCACGTGTGTGTGTGTGTGTGTGTGTGTGTGTGTGTAAAGGTAATTTTCTTTGTGTTCAGACTTTCTCTCTAGCACCTTACCAGCATGTGTCAGGGCACTTTTCATTGCTGAAGAAATTTATGTATAGTTATAGGATAGGAAATTCCTTTAAGAAAATTGGGAGGAATGTAGTCAGATTTGAGAGAAGATGGAATTTCAGCCATGGAAAATGACGCTCTCTAAGGATATACTCAAGACCTGAATTGCTGGAAAGAGGCAGAATTTAGAGCTAAGAACATGAGATTTCCCACACTGTCCTACTAGGAGACGGAGACATATATTCACTTAGGCAATGTCAGCATGGGCAAAGCACTTGGAATTCATCTCTTATCAAAGTTACACAAATCCAATGTGCTCCTGTAATTGCTTCATGCAGAGACATCCTGTTTCCTTCACTAAATTATAAGCACTTTGAGAAAACTTGAGAATTTCTAATTAGACAAAAATCTATAAAATACAGCAATGCTGCCATTAATCAGCACACTTTATTCTGGAAACTTCTTTAGTGGTAGAGTCATAGGAATAGGTTCCATGGGCAGGGAGATGGTGTGGTACAGGAGAGGGGACCTGGGGAGGGACTCAGAAGACCATGGCTCTAGGTTTGGTTCTGCTGTGTAATGTTGGGCAAGCTATTCTGTGTGCCTAGTCTGAACACCAAAAGGGTTGAACTTGCATTACTTTCCAATCCTAATGATCTTTGGATCTGAGTCCCTGAATGGTGACCTCTTGGGGGACAGGGAATTTTGTCTGTTTTATGCATTGATATATCTCTGATGTAGTCTAACACTTAACTGTGTCTGTCCCACGGTAGGCATTCAGTAACTGTTGAATGAAATATATAATATTTGGAAGGCATTGTCTCTTTCAATCCAATCAGGTAGGCTGTGGGCTTCTGATCCCATGGGCTTATGGAGCATAGGGAGAGAAGGAAAAACGGGGTGGTCTATCTCCCTCTCTGTTGACTTCAGGATTAGATACTGCCACATGCCACTGGGTGATCAGCTTTGTGAGAGGAGAAAGGATTCGTAAGCCCTGGATGTATGGCATCTCTCTTAGCCTGGGAAGGCCTGTGTGCAAGAAACCTAATCTGGACACAGGTAAACTACCTTCTCATCAGCTATTTCCCTTGTCAGCATTGAGCCAAGTGGCATCCTGTGGTCGCCTCTGTGTGCTGTCACTTTTGCTAAAAATAGCTTTGCTCCTAAGGAGTTCACTAATCAAAGCATCCCTGGGGAACCTGCTGGAGTAGAATCAGTTAATTCCACTCAATACGTAAGTGACTTAAAGGTCATTTTGTGGTTCCCCATGGCTTTCTAGATTACTATCAGCACCATCTTCACAAGACATGAATGCCTCTACCCCTCGAAACTTGCAAAAGGCAGAGAGTTTTTCACTGAGCGTGAGAAATTGGACTTCAATCTTTATTCAAGAGCATCTTTTTTTTTTGCTCCACGTTTCATTTTAAGCGTCAGAAACATACCCTTCCCCCTCGGCATCCAGGGCAGCGGCCAGTTCCGTGAAGAGGAGCCCAGTGAGAAAGTGCTGCTGCCGGTACTCTGGGGTCAGATCAAACATGCTGGCGATCTTCTGGTCCTGGAAACTGGAGCAGGAGCTTGAGTTCTACACAAACGCAAGGGGCAGTTTTATGAGTGACAACAACTGGAATCAAAATTGCAATGGCTAGTGTTTTCTGAGCCCTTGCTCCAGCCAGGCTTTGTGAGAACTACCCAGGGAGGATCCCATGTGGCAGACGGGGAGACTGAGACATGGAGTGGTCACTTTGCTTTCCTGTTCCCACAGATGGAAGACTGCCAACTGGGAAAGATGAAAATAAAACACTCAGGGTCTGGTGAAAAATGACTAACACTCTGTTCCCCACCTGAAATGAAAAGATGAAGACTAAAATCCTACAATAAAATTCAGATAGAGAAATGAAAACTGCATCCAGTCCTGTGGCTGTGGGCAGGCAATTCCCCCATAACCAACTGTCCCCTTTTGTCTGAGCCCCCCGTTTACTCAGCTACACTTCTGAGTGTGGCTCAAGCACAGTGTCTGAATTTTGCTGGCTGGACCTAGAAGAGGTGTCAGGCAGGGAAGTGTCAGGTTTACCCGTCCTGGGCAAGTCCTAACCTGTGTTCTTATCCTGGGAGCACACTTTATATTTCACTTAGATCATCAAAAGTGTCTCTGGAAATCCTTCATGGTTTGGTGAAGCTGACCCTGGCCCTGGGTTTGGTAATTCCCTGGGGCAGTCAGAAAAGGAATGTGGGGAGAGAAGCAAGGGCACGGTTAGCCCAGGGTAGCCTTAGGACTTAACCTTCTGGGCAGGATGCAGCAAAATGTTTACACATTTGGGATTGCTGCTTGTAAGTCAGATCTTTCCCAGTTCACAGTAAGATGGTCATGCAGGTGGATCATGTCATCTGCCATAAATGGCTAAGATTTTTTTTTTTTAATGAGACAAGCCTTCACCTTTGTGCTAGTATCAAGGAATATGTAGCAAAAAAATAAAAATAGAACCTAATATTGAGAAATCTTGCCTGCTGCTCTGAGCTACTGATTTGTTTCCTATAAATGGAATGTGACTATAAAAGATCATTTCCTGGGCCAGCCCCGTGGCTCACTCGGGAGAGTGAGGCACTGGTAGTGCCGAGGCCATGGGTTCGGATCCTATATGGGGATGGCTGGTGTGCTCACTGGCTGAGTGTGGTGCAGACAGCACCAAGCCAAGGGTTACAATCCCCTTACCGGTCAAAAAAAAAAAAAAAGATCATTTCCTTAAAGTTTTTCTAGAGGACACTAGTCCCTTGAGAAATCAGTGGGGAAAAAAGGTTTCCATAGTCCAATCACTTTGGGGATCACTTCTCAGCACACACACCTCCTCCCACTTCTTCCATCCCTTGGGTATTTATACTCCATGTGAACATGTTAAAGACTCTTGGAGGCCTACTGCAAAGAAACCTGGTTAACACAGGGTTTCCAAAACTTATCTGACTTTGGAATCCTGTATTTGCAAACTATAATAGTTGGTTAATGTGAGACAATGGAAGGGTTGAGACTTTTCGGTGAGGTTTTGAATTTTCATAGTGCTTTTGGGTTCCTTGCTCTACCTGGCCCCATCAGGGACTCTTGAGCCTAGGAAGAAATGAATTACTCAGGTTGTTTCTTGAGATGGTGCAACTGCAGGGTAGCATACTTATGCATGTCTGGATTGATCGATCTGGTTTGAGTAGCTTGATTTTTTTTCTAATTGATAAGACCAACTGTTATAGGAAATACATGACTAAACTAAGCTAATTAATGAATTAATCAGTTAGTTGATTACCTGGGAAGATATGGAGGGACAAGGAGATGTCGGGGCAGTATCAGCATTCATAAAGAAGAGGTTCAGATTGAGGTAATGTTCATGGCTGCACAGGATTCTCAGGAACTCTAGCCTCATGGAAATGAGCGTTGGAAGGTTATTGAGCTTGGCTGACAGCTGAGAAGAAAAATGAAAAAAAGGAAAGAAGCATTTATTGTAAGGTAAATGGAGTTGAGGTTCATAGACACAAAAATATCTGTTCTTCTCAGATTAAGACAATCAGTCTAATGAAAATGAATGTGATAGTGCAACAGATAGCAAATTCTGCATTACAGGGAGACCCAATAAGTTTTCATTCACTGCTGTTCTGATTAATGAGTCTTATCTAATAGCTGTCCAAAATGAGGATTCTTGCCCCGATTCCCACTTTGTCAAATCTATAATATTAAGGCAAGCCTGTGCTGCAAATAATCTTGAGATATGTCTTCAATGTAACATAAGACAATTAATTTTACAAAACCGCATTGTGTCTGAGAAACTAAATGAAAGAAGCTGACCTCACTTGGGGCCATATGAAATTAATAGAATATGACCAGATGACTTAAATGCCACAAGTGTTCTGTTGTAGTTTCTAATTAAAGTCCTCATTGGAAAGTTCTCAAAGCAGTTCCCTAGAGGAAGGCATGAAACTGCTTAGGCAAGTATATAGTACCTGCAAGAAAGTCAAGGAGTTCGCTCCAAAGTAGGAGAGGAGGAGATGAGGAGAAGGAAAGAGAAGGCTAGAAGAGTTTTTAGGAAAAATCAGCCACTTTAGGGGAAGCCATTGTATTGTGGGGCATTTTGACTATATATAATGTATATAATTAGTAATTAGATATTTACTTAAAACAAACAAATGCTATTATATATTATATAAAAAATAAAACACATAACTTCTGTGTAAGAACAGCTACCAGAACCCATACCCTTTCCATGTATACTTCTGGCTGACTTTGGATCAGTGGGGCACCAGCAAATGGAACTGATTAGAATTTGGTCTTGTGCCCATCACTTAAGGTCACTCTCAAAGAGGTGTTGGGTCAGGCCAGCTCTCAGAACTAGAAGGCACAAGATATTTGCTCTTGAAAGAAGGCCCCACTGTGGGTATCTTTCATAGGCTCCCTGAGACTACAAAGAGGTGTTGGGTCAGGCCAGCTCTCAGAACTAGAAAGCGCAAGATATTTGCTCTTGAAAGAAGGCCCCACTGTGGGTATCTTTCATAGGCTCCCTGAGACTTCCTAGAGACTGCGATGGGTTAAATGTGTCCCCCCATAGGTTCATGTATTGAAAATTTGACCTCCATCTAACAGTGTTAAGAAGGTGGGAATTCCTATTACAGTAATTGAAAGATGAGGCCTTCAAGAGGTGGTTAGATCATGAGGACTGTGCCCTTTGAATGGTTCTGATGGCTTTAAAAGAAGAGCAAATGAGGAAGTTAGCTCTCTCTTGCTCAGCCATTTGCCATGTGACACCCTGCGTTTCTGTGGAGAGTCACCACCCTCAAGGAAAATGTCCTCATCAGATGCACCCCCTTGACTTTCCAGCCTCTGAACTTTAAGAAATAAATTTTATTTCTTTATAAATTTAATTACCCAGTTTCAGGTATTCTGCTATAAGCAACAGAAACAAACTAATACAGAGACAGAAATTTCAAAAATAATTTGAGTGATGTTTCAAAGAGAGGAGTATAGTGCGGTTCCTGAAACATCTTCCCCAAAGGCTGGGACCCTCAGTGCCACTGTAACAGCTCTACTCAAGGGATGGGCATTAACTTAGTGGCACGTTGTAAGTGACAGAGAGTAACTGAAGAAGTAGATTTGTCTATTGTTAGTGACTATTAATGAAAGACTAAAGTTATACGCATTGCCACAAACTCTTTAAATGGCAGAAAAAATGACAATGTTTGAGTCAGGTTATGCAAAATAATAAAATCAGAGGACTTGGAAACAATACAACTTGCCTCAGGTGTGAAGTTCATCCTGTATCTAGAAAGCTGCAGACAATGAATTAAATCACTGTTGACTTGGGTCAGTGACCTTAGGCCCATGTGCCACTAATGGTCCTAAACATTATCTACGGATGTCACCGGCAGAAACAGACCATAGCAGCAGTGTCAAAGCCTGGGTTAATCTAACGCAGCCTCGTCTTTTTGCAGATGAGAAAACAAACATCTCAAAGGCTGATGCTCCCCAATCCCAGAGGTGGTTAACGGCAGCGCTGGGATTAGAACACAGGTCTCCAGACTCCTGGCCCAGGGCTCTTTGGCAGTTGAGACAGGGGAAGGGAGAAAGAGAAAGCAAGTATCTATAGGAAAAGAAAAGGATTTAAAAGAGAAAGAGAGTGAGCAAGAGAGAAGAAAGGAAAGAGGAAGGGAAAATAAACACGTGCGTTTTGCGGGGCAGGTGGACATCTACCGTGGATTGCCTGATTTTCCTTTTGGTAGTGAAAGCTGCCCACATGTGAGTGGCTAACCCTGGGCCTGTAGTGGTGTTTTAGAATCTCTTTTCCATATATCCAATTTAAAGTTTTGAAAACAGATTAGCTTGTATTAGAAATTCATCCTGTGACCTGGAATCCTAAACAGCGACAAGGGAGGGAAAGAGGAGTGAAGCCTTCCTGTCGCTCTGTTCTGGCCCCATCCTGGGACAGAAGACCTGCTGTGGGGCAGGAGGTCAGCATGCACAGACAGTGACGCTCTGGCACTTCTGATGTTTCCTTAGGATCCTTTTTCATTATTCTGCATCTTATCAGGACTTCCTTTAGAAAAGTCATGGGGGTTTTTTGTTTTGTTTTGTTTTGAGGAGGGTCTTTATCTAAACGAGCCAAAGACAGTCTCTGTGTATTGGCCCCTAGTTGTTTATTTCTTCACAGCAGACTGACACCCACTCATTAGCTCATACCAAACTCCAGTTTTTTTATTTTAAAAATAGACCAAACAAGCAGATTTTTAGCCTTTTAGTGGCTGCCTGCTTTGCAGATCCTATAAAAACCTCACTGGACAGCTATTTCCTATTGATAAGATAGAGCCTTGAGGTTATGAGGCCCCAAGTTGCTATAGCCCTTTGGAGCTCTCTGACTCAGAGGCTCCCCACCGTGCTGCCGAGCAATATCACCTAGACACGTGAGCCCCTCTCTACCCCCCTCTCCTCTGGGCATTCCCTTGCTCCTCAGGGTGGCAGCTCCCTCACTGCGAGCCTCTGGACGGGCTGGTGCTGGGAGGGGCCTCCCCTCTATGCGACCTTGTCCAGCTGCTGCCCAGTGAAGCTTGTATGTCACTGCCTCTCATGGTCATACCCTTTTCCTTGACCAGCCCTCAAATCCCTCAGGCCCCCTACAGGGAAGAACTCTTCTATTTTAAAAATGAAGATATTTTGGGCTGACCCCATGGCTCACTCGGGAGAGTGTGGTGCTGGGAGTGCAGCGACGCTCCC